AGTGGTATCTCCTGTTGCTAAATTTAGTGGGGGGGGGGTGTCCTCTAACACGTAGCCAGTATCCATGTTTTGTGGGTCCTTAATAGCGAAAAGAAGATTGGCGAATAAACGGAGGGTTTCCGGATAGGGCAATTTTGTCCCCCAAATGGGGAATTTTGTTTCGCTGTGGAGAAAGAATGGAGACGAGAATGGACGAGAAAATGTTGGCGATTTTGGGGGGAAATTATTTTCATCCGGATTCGAGATAGAAATATTATTCTCTCAATTATTATTAATAATAAAAAAGGAACCATAGACGTCATTCTCTCAAATTTTTATGTATCAAAGAGACAAAATTAAACGATAGGCAGAGAGAAAGAAAAACACGACAAAAATGAAGACACTGCATGACTTCAAGCAGCTCGATAACTGGTTGATTTGAATTGATTGAATTTAAGGTGACAGCCAATGGAATCGCCAGGGACAGCCCATATCGTCATCATTTGAAGAATATTCTTTGTTTGAAAATTGGGGAATTTTGTTTCATTGGAGAGATTACTTGTGTAAATGTCATAATGGTGGGAAAGGAGCTCGCAACACTTTTGGTAACCCTGGCAAAACGTCTGCCTGTCCGTCTGTGAACAACGCTAGCGCCAAAACCGTTCAGCCGATTTTCTCCAAAATTGATATTTCCCAATCAATCAGAATGAACTCGAGGCTTTCGGAGTTTTGAACGAATATTTTGATTTTTGAGGGTACTTCACATGAAGCCTCAAACACATTTTCAAAATTTTCTAAAAACCGCACGAAATGTTTGATCAAACTTTGTCTTTGGATAGCGTAAAGAACGCTTAAGAGTATGGTGGTGGTCCCCTATTCGTTGAAATCAAAGAGTTTTTGAAAACTGTAAAAGCGCAAAGAAAATTGCAATTTTTTTTGTATAATACTAAAGATAAATTTTAAAGATAATTTTTTCGTAACAAAGTCCGTTTCGTAAAGACGAATCTTTAAATAATTTCATGTTCAATTTTTTCGAAAATATGAGTATTTTTCGTATACTTTTGAACGAAATATACGCATTTTTTCTCAAAAACGGCTCAAACTTTTTTGTTTTAATTTTCTCCTCGTATATAAATAGGGGGCGGATTTTGATGACCTAAAACACAGCCGAAAATGATCAATAAAATGCTTTAAAAATGCCCTAAAAACAAAGAAAAATGACATTACAAATTATCAAAACCACTTCTGATGAACAAGGAGCTGTTGGGTATCTTACTCATGTAATCGAGACGGCTTTCTTTTGCTCAAGTGAACTCAGCTTGCAAACTTTTGGTTTGGACTTCTTAAAAAGAAAATTTCTGCCTTTATTTATCGCAAAATCGGCTGAACTGACAATGGTGCCGATAGGCGTCACGGGAACCTTAGATTACATAGTACTCACGACTAACATGCAATACAATATATGAGCGAAGAAATCGAATAGGCTACTCAGAAATTCTGAGGTGAAATTTTTTTGCACCTCGTAAATATTGTTAGAAGCAAGTACCATTACAATATTAAAATCAATGAAATCAGTGAAAAATACATTAAAAATTACAGTTTTCAAAAATGACTTATTAACCGAAATTGATGAAAAATGCAAAAATATTACATATAAAAATGGGTCATTTCGTTTCGTCAGAACTTAAAAAGAATTTCTATACTAAACGGTATTGTTGTGAAAGAAAGTGAAAAGGAAAAAAATGGCATTTCATTAAAATCCGCCTCTAGTAATAAGGGGCAGTAAAAAATATGGGGCTAGTCGCATTTTCGGCAATCGTTCCGTTTTTTTCGAAATTTGCGAAAGTGAACATTTGAGAACTACAAAATTAGAAATAGCGATTTCTACTTTAAGCAAAATCCATTGTAAAAAATCGGCTCTTTAAAAAAGTTTATGAACAATTTTTGAAACAAAACGGGCTGATTTCCTTTAATTAGTGTCTGAAATTTATGCAATTTCTTAAACAAAATATTTTTTCAAAACCTGCACGAAATATTTACATTAATTACATTACATTACATTAAAGTTTCTTCTCATATGTAACAACGTATGGTACAAAGTGGTGCTACAAATGGCACAGACTTTCTCGCACTACTTAGTTTTTAAATCTCTTGTGTCGACTAGCAATTGGGTTATGCCTTATTCTCTTCCAAAGTCCTGTCATCTTTGCCGCCCAGAGGACATTTTTTCACATTTTCTCAATTTTTCAGCACCCTAATGCTAGAACTGAAAAAATGTCTTTAAAACTATTATAGAACTGTAGAGCCCGTATCCGACACGGATGACCGAGGTGGTTAAATGACGTGCATTGGCGTGGAGGCGCTTTGGTGCAAAAGGTCGCGGGTTCGACTCACGCTTGCAATTTTAATTTGTTCTTATCACTCGTGAATGTGTTGTCGCAGAAAACTATTGACAATTCGAGAAACTTTATTGAAAATTATTTGAAGCATTTCTACTCACAAATTCAATCAATACAGATAAATATGTCTGTATGTGATTTTCGATTTTTGAACATATTTTCAACTCGTTCATTTGATTTCTAAAACTGGCACGTCAAATCATTTGTTGTCTTTCTGCACATATTTATGAATTGATTTAAGTAAACTAATATATCTATCAACATTAAATTTAAATACATTATAAACACTACTCATGTGGCCAACTTGGTTGTTCTATTACAATTATATCCCTAATGGTTCCGAATATTATTACTTGTTCTTACGAAGGTCCTACCCATACCAGTCTGTGGCATAGCAGGATCTGAGTTAGGGCCTCAGACCGGAAATAAATTTTTGCTGGTTGAAAATACTTTTGCAAGTTTATGTTGTAGTAATAATATGGCGGAGCAGTTAGGAATAATGTGAGAAGGTATGTGATTTTGTAGCACCACTAGTTTAGCAACATGAGCATAACTTAGAAAGACAGCTGTTGCAATGGTGATATGAATAAGAATTAGTAGGCAAAAAGAAAATACATAGTTTCATTTTTTTTTAAGCTATCAAAAAAAAATATTCTCTGTAAAATGAGGCAAAAAAAAAATCAATTTAATTATTTCAATCACATACTCTTATTCATATAATTATATAGTCTGTTTAGTATTGAATTCAATCAGTTTAGTACTTTTTAATTTGAATTTAATCAACAATGAAGGTCTAAAGTACACGACTGTCACATTGTAAGATATCAAGGGATATTTCTATGCACTTCTGTGAAAGAATAACAATAGTAATAATCTCCTGCTGATTCGCAGGTTCTGTGGGGAAGGGGGGGAAGTTCTGGCAGATGCTGTAGCAGAACAGCAAGTACAAATTTTTATTGTATTTAATTTCTCAGAAATCTCACAGAGTCCCCATTTAAACCTTATGAGACTCATTTAAAACAATATGTTGTTCAGACAACATGATGTATTATTTTTCTTCAAATTCTAAAGAACAAATTTAAAAAATAAAATAAGTCAAAATGCATTTTAAATAACTTATCTTTGTTCTTTCAATTTGCAAAATATTGAATTTCTCTATGAGTTACACCACAAGTTAAAAAAGATTAATTTTAGCAACGTGAGCATTTCTTCACAAATTTTAAAAATAAAAATTGTATCGAAAAAAAATCTGCAGGAAAAAATTAGAAATTTGTGTTTCCTATATTCTTCATAGAAAAACAAGTATAAAAATCTGAGGCGTCAAGGTAAAATTTTGTTTAAAACTTCTGTGATTTGATGTGGAATGACTCCATTACAGCTCAAACTAGATGTGTACAAATAATTGCCAATGAAAGAGAAGAAAATCTGAAATTTTGAAAAGTCACATGTTCATACGTGTAGATGTAGCATGCAATTTTGAAGGCACTGGCTAAATTGTTTTTTAAGCACCCTGTGTTATACCAGAAAGTTGGTTAAATAAATGAGAATCGTTTTCACAAAACTCAACCTCTATTAAATCCAAAGTTTTCAGGAGACACATTTTTATGAAAAATGACTGTGTGGAGATTTTTAAAGAAAAAAAAATTAGGACAAGGGAGATTTAAAAATAATAATAACTATTAACTAAATGTAGCCTTCTAATTGTCTGATGTCACTATTATACATGTTTCTCACAATTAATAAAAGATGATAATTTTTTTATCTAAAAAATTTTTAATACAAACAATTGTTAGATACAAAATGAAATGATGTTTCTTGTCCTGATTTGGCCATATCTTCAGTTACACAGATGTCTAAGAAATAAAAATAAACAAAATATTTTGTTTTTTTAGAATTACAATAATTAGGTTTTTGAAATGGTTAGAAAATTAATAAAAATATGTATTTGTACATACAAGGCACAAGAAAATGTAAGAATTTACCTTCAGTCCATGAATGTTTTTTGAAAAAACACAATCAAATAATTTACAAAACAAATTTGCAAGAAAATACTGTTGACATGCATAACTTGCAGATTCTACGTAACATAACCATCACCATGTGTTTGTTGTATGATGAAAAAGAGTAGAGCAACTCTCTCAATATTATTAAGTCTTTGACATTACCCCAGCAAATTTCTTTTTTTCAAATTTCTCCAAGTTAGTTAGAAACTGTCTCATTGGCTAATGTATTTTCACTTGCTACCTACACCATCTGCAAAATTTCCAATACTGTGCTTGCAAAACGAAGAAAAGGCTGAAAAATAATAGGTTTTGCAAAATCTTCCTTCCAGTAGACGTTGATTTTTGAAATCTTATTAATGTTAATTTTGAAATTGCACAGGTAGATGCCCAGTATAGCTCTATTCTGAACATTCTATTAAATTCTCCCAACTTGAAACTAAACAATGTGTTAAATTTCATAACAATTTTGAAAATTTTCAAGATGTTGAGTTTTGTAAAACAGACCTCAATTCTTAATTTATTGATGTATCATTTGAAAAGTTCTAGATATGTCTAAACTCAAGTAATTTATAGGGGATGAAAACATTAAATGCAAAGAAATTAATTGTGAGAACTGTACCTTGAGCGTTCACTTCAAACCATGCAGGCCGTTCATAACCCATCACCTGACCAAAGATAGCACCAGATTCTTTCAGTTTTGGATATATTGGCGACATACGAAGATTCCTCCCAGTGTGGAACTCATAAAAAGGGTACATAAGTCCATAATGTAGACCTGAAAAAAGAAATCAAGAGATTTAAAAAAGTCTAATCATGTTATTCATCTTACAAGCTGCTCAATGAGACCATAATGTGCAAGTTAGTTGATTATATGTGAGCATGGTAGCACAAAAGTATGACAACGGAAGACCATATAACAGTCTTTAGCCACGTGTAAAATATACAATGTGTAAACTTATTAGAGTGCGAGTTTAATATTTTGACATCTTTTCAAACTGCATGTCTGTATAGGCAGTAGTACTCTTTATTTAATTTTGTCATAAAAAAGAACCATTCACTATACACTGAACACATTAGCAAACAGCATATTAAGGCTATTGGATAAGATAAAATACTTAATCATTATCCGCCTACATGAAAAATAATACTATATATTTAACAAAAATTAATAATTAAATATAAACACAAATATGAAATATAGCTCACCTGGTACTTCTCTTACACGATCTCTTAAAAACTTTCTATTATTATGTAGACCAAGGAATCGGCTAATATCAATTTCATACATGTCATAGAGAGAATAACCATTTACAATCAATTCTGCTGTAGCTCTACCAACTCCTCCTGCAGCAGATATTCCAATAGTCTTCATTCCTGCAGCTACAAAGTAGTTCTGAATCTAGACAGCAAAAATAAAAGGATAAAAGATTGGTTAATATTAACACTAACTTATAAACAAAGAGCAAACTAAAAAAGTCATATCGAAAATGTTGGATTCAGTAACTTTATTACAAAAAACCTAATTTGTCATTTCTTAGTCTAACTCAGAATAAACAGATTCCAGCAGATTTATTCAATGACTTTAAAAAAACTGTCAATGAAAGAAAGACCAAATATTTTTCCTTCTTCCTCTGTCAGAATAAAGTGTTTCCCAATATGTTACAAATTGGCTTCAATCTGAAGTCAACCTGACAAAGTACTACACTATCAGTGACAACACTACATTATCAATGGAACTATTCCCATACAATCTTAATACACAAAAGCTTGAAAAATACTTTTGGGGGCATTTTGACTTCGATGCAGTTTGAAACATGACTACTAAGGCTTCAAACAGGGACTATTGTGTGGTGACCATTGGGTCTGAACGTTGAAAATAATTATTAGTCTGAAAAGGCTGAAGTGGAATAATAGTGTAAAAAATACCCCAATGTTCTGAACCAATTCTGTGTGGAATGTGTTTAGGACTAAGAAAAACTTCAGATTCCCAGATGTTTAGGCTGCTCTCCCCTCCCCTCCCATCCTCCAACCGGCAAAGGTGGCTCAGGGCATTAACATGTCACTGCAGTGCCTCTGTCCAGGAGGTCCCAGAGTTCGAGTCCCGATGGTGGCAGGATTTTGGACACTAGCTAGATAGCTAGGACGAATTGAACTCCGGTCTGGAGGAGAATTTTGGGGACCGGCTGCTCTGATTGGCGGTTTTCCGTGGTTTCTCCCATCAACACCAGGCGAATGACGAAGCAGTGCCCTAACAAATGGGCCACGGACCGCGCGCGACCTCTCTTTTCGTTCTATTGTCCCTATCCTCACGCCTTACACACACACTTCCATCATACCGCACCATACCACCATACATTGCCACACTTGTAGGGAGACCGGTCGAGAGCTCAGAGATTGTGCCGGCTGCGCCCGATTTCGCCTTTCACCGGGGAAAGATCATCGCCAAAACCAGCGATAAAAATATATACTACACTTACGGAACTAATGACATTTGACGCGCCTGGGGTCATTCATCAATCCTCCATATTTTTTACATTTCTTTTTTTCCTACTAACTACTAAATAGTTGTTACATCTGGAATGTGTGGCAAATAGGTTGTGTAAATTCAGTAATAAAAATAAAAAGTATGTAGTTAATTAGTTAAGTTACATAATTAATTAAGTTCGCGTGGAATTTTTTATTTGAATTATTAGGCCGTTTACACCCAAAAATAGCGGGGCTACAAGAGCACATACTTTCTCGCACGTATTAATAGATGTGATATTATAATACCGCCGACATTAACACATCTCAGTTATCACTTATAAAACACATTACAAATTTAGGACAATAGATACGGAAACTACTTCTTTTAAAGCTAATACATAAACACAAATTCAACAAGTAAATGCGTTTTTGAGCCTTACAAAATTAGAAATTAATAACGTGGCCCGGCGGTGGCAGTGGCTGCTGTCTACAATCCGTTGTAGCCAGCACGGCGTTTTTGAAGCATCAATGGATGACTCGTTTGGCAAACGCAAGGCGAATATTTTCTTATTAATTCTCTTCTAATTACTTAACAGCAACTAATGAATAATTGTAAATTAAAGAAGTAACATTATTCTAGAAACCTAATCTATTCTTATTAGTTAACTACGACTATATAATTACCATAAACAAGACTAAAATCTAAACAAAAATAAATGAACACTAGAAATTCAAAATTTAAACATACTATTTACATTCACAATGTCCTTGTGGAAGATACCACTTCTTTCACAAGAAACACAATGAGAAATAATTCTGTGAATTTCATGCCATATCGCGACGTTACTTTTGATAAATTGCAACTTGATAATCAGTGTAGCCAATTAGCTGGAAAGTGAACATAAATTTATCGTAATTAAATAAAAGTCCATACTAATTTTTTTTTTCAAATTTTCTTTCATATTACATTTAAATCATGTTTTTAAGAGAGAAAACCTAATTGGGCTAATAAAGATTAAGATTTGCGGATCGGTTGAAAGAAAACACATTAATACATGGAGAATACAAATAGTAGAATAGTGAAATCGAATACTTAAATTCTCAACAGTAACTTATAACTCAAACAAGCCTTAGTAAATCCGAAGGCAGACGTTCGCGCGGTTTCTACAAGATCGGGATGGTAACCCGCAAGCCAGCAACACGATAACTTATTATAGACTTATCGAGACTTATTATAGAAGTTTTCGCAACTAATGTTCTACGATTTGTAACGTTAAGTCAATTAAATTAATAAATTAAGTTAATAAACATAAGTTAATAATGAGAAAGGATTCTCATAATATCCAACTGCCTCCAAGCAGTGGCGGTTTGTAGCATTGTTGCAGTGTGGCACAACCACCATAAATTTCGGCCAATGTCCCTTGACATATTAACATTAAAAATAAATCACTTTAATAACGTGCGAGTCGTATATCTCCGAATTAACTTCTTATCTACAAGCGTTAACAGACGACGAGAGGCCCCAGCGGGCATCTCAGAGCTGACTCGAGGGAGTTTGATTTCAGCTACAACTGGGTGTCCTGCACGACCGAATGGAGCAGAGCTGGCGATCGTTCGATATATAGCAACACGACCGAGAAAGACACGAAATGCCGAGAGATATTCCATTGTGAAGACATGCCCTCACGCGCCAAGAAAGAAAAAACCCAAGTATAGGGCGTCACTGCTTACAACACAGCTGACATCATGCAGAGCAAGGCTCCAACGAATAGGCCGTCCGCCATTAAATATTTGCAATTCACATGTGGCAATATGAAAAGCTTTAATAAGGAAGCAATAGGAAAGCTTTAAATATTCTTGGTATGTAAAAAGGTGTTATTTATACACCGAGCAATCGTACCGCGTTCGATCCCCGGGTCGACCATCTTGACTGAGGTTTTCGTGGTTTCCTTCGGTCACAAGGCTAATGCTAGGATGGTTCCAAAAGACCACGAAAATCACCCACTACCCCTCCTTTCACCCCTCACCATCACAATATAATAATAATAATAATAATAATAATAACAACAATAATAATAATAATAATAATAATAATAATAATAAT